AGCAACTTTGTTTTTTGTCCATGTAGTTTTAAAATCGAAATGTACTGTCTTCATCGCCTGTTCGCTATAAGAACCAAGTCCAGATTTTGATTTATCACAAAATTGCTCTACGTGAATGAAATCTGCATGAGCCTTGGGTGTTATACTAACACCTAAGGATATATAACTTTCTCTGAAAGTTCTTATGCATGTTTTTTCTTTTGCAATGAAAAAATTATGCCTTTATTTCTAATCAATGCTCGCGCTGCTAAGCAAGGTAGGATAGTGAATCCTCTTGCCGCAGCGACGAGCGAATTTATACTTGCGAAATTGGCTCCTTTCTACGCTTGGTAGCCCTTACAACGCTATTTTTGAAATTGATACAAACTTTGCACATGTTTTGTCTCAAAATGTCTCGATCGAATTTGCAATTTTATGATTTAAAAAATTAAATATGAAATAACTAGTTTTTTAACATAAATCGTTTCTCGATGAAAAATCGCCTTTTAGAGTTATAGCCTTTAGCGCGTCTGTCGTGACCGTCCTTTCGGCCCCGCCGACTCTGATTGTGTAAACCTTCTCACTGATGCGCCTAATCATCTCGTACGGCCGCTCCAGTGGCTTTCGGATCGCCTCCCCGCGCAGGTCTTCAGGTCCGCCAGATAGAAAGGCCTGCGAGCCGAGTGATTTGACGACGACACAGGTCGTATGGCCCCCATGAGCGCCCTGAGCTTCGCCACGAAGGTCGCCGGATCCGCCGAACAGCTCGTTGCCACAAAGAACTCCCCCAGCATGCGCAGAGTTATCCCATGCAAGTCCTCCTTGAAGCAGCTCCGAAGCCCAAGGAGCACCAGGGGCAAGCTCTCAGACCAGGGCACCTGAGGATAGCACATCAGGGCCGCCTTCAAAGTTCGATGGAGCCGCTCCACCATGCCGTTCGACTGGGGATGGTACGGCGTGGTGCGCACCCGCTCCGCTCCAATAAGCTGTGCCAAGGCGGTGAACAGGGTCGACTCAAACTGCGTGCCCTGGTCGGAAGTTATCGTGAGTGGGCAGCCTCGGTCTGCGATCCAATGCTCCATCAGCGCCCGCACCACGGTCTGTGCCCGAATATCCGCCAAGGGCACCGCGATCGGCCACCTCGTGAAGCGGTCAAGCACGGTCAGGCAGTACCGCAAGTTCCCGACTTGCGGCATCACGATGATGTCCACATGGATGTGCTCGAAGCGATTGTCCGGCTCCTGGAAGAGAGACAGCTTGGCCCGATTGTATCGCTGGACCTTGGCTCTTTGACACGCCTCACAGCTACGCGCCCAGCGCCCTATGTCCTTCCTAATCCCCGGCCAGACGTAGCGTTCCGTCACAGCTCGTATCATGGCGCGGATGCTGGGGTGTGCCGGATCGTGTGCGGCCTCGTAAGCGCGCCGGCGTAACCAGGCGTAGGACCAGGTCGGAGGCATCGGTAGCCAGCGCCAGTGATGCTGACGGCTCGATGAAAGCGGCCCCGACCGCTCTGGCTAGACTACGGCGGACCGCGCGGAAGGCCGAGTCGGTAGACGGGGTCCAGGGCAGGAGCTGCTGGCTCCCTCTTGCACACCCCTTCAACATTTCGCTCAGCGGTGCCTGGTCCTCTGCCGCGTGGGGAAGGCACCTCCTGTAGAAATTCACCATTCCCAAGAATCTTCGCAGGCCCCGCGCAGTGCCCGGCCTCGGGAACTCGGCGATTGCCGCGACCCGCCGAGCCGGCGGTCGAAAACCGTCCCTGGAAACTTCGTAGTCCAGGATTAGCACCCTCGATTGTCCGATCTGGTACTTCGGCAGTTTGATCGAGAGTCCCGCCTCTCTCAGTCGCTCCAGCAGTGACCGCAGATGCTTCAGATGCTCCTCGTGGGAAGATGATTCAACGAGCAGATCGTCCAGGTAATTCCGCACAAATGGCAAGTCGCGCAGGAGACTGTCCATATAGCGCTGAAAGGTTTGTGAGGCGTTGCGCAGCCCAAGTGGCATCCGCGTAAACTCAAAGAGCCCAAAGGGGGCGGCGACCGCCGTCTTAGGCACATCCTCCTCCGCCATCGGAACCTGGTAATAAGCCTCCTGCAGGTCGATCACCGAGAAAACGGAGCATCCTTTCGCGTCCTCCAGGAGATCCTTTATTACGGGCAGCTGATAGCGATCTGGCAGCGTATTCGCGTTGAGGCGCCGGTGATCGCCGGTCACTCTGCACCCTCCGTCCGACTTGGGCACCACATGCAGAGGGCTGGCCCACTGGCTCGAGGAGGGCCGCACGACGCCGGCCCGGAAAAGTCGGTCAAATGCGGCCCGGGCAGCCGCCAATCTATCTCCCGCGAGGCGACGGGGCTTCTCGTGGACTGGTGGTCCGACTACGTGGATGTGATGCGTCACTTCCACGCCGCCCAAGGTCGCGCCTCGCCCTCCCGGCTCGGCCAATTCGGCAAACTCCACCAGCAGTTGGTCGTACCGCCTCCGATGAGCATCGCTCGCGGCGTCGGCCACAAGCGCGATCCCGTGGACCTCTGCCCGGCGCACGTGCGCAGGAGCGGAGCCGTTCGTGTCTCCATCGATGAGGCGCCGGTGTCGAAGGTCAACCACAAGGCCGGTGTGCGCCAGAAAGTCGGCTCCGATAATAGCTCCCGGCAAATCCGCGACGATAAAAGGCCAAGAGAACGTTCGAGGTAAGCCGAGGTTAAGGTTGACCATCTTCCGACCATACGTCCGCATCGGGGAACCATTGGCAGCGACCAAGGCCAGCGGCTGCCGATCGTGCCGGCCCGGCACCAGGGAGCGAGGCATCAGTGACACCACAGATCCGGAGTCAATCAGCATAGGCCTCCGAGATGTTCGCTCGACGATATGCAGTCGAGTCTCCGCGCCGTCCTTCCTGCCGCCGACCGCCAAAACGGGCGGCGGCACTAACGGTTTCCCGGCCGCGTCGCAGAGGCGAGAGGGTAGTTGCACGGCGGTCGGCAGTTTTCCGCCTTGTCCCCGAAGCGCTCGTGGTAAAAGCAAAGATCGCCCTGATTCGTGGAAAAGCCTCTAGTGCGAGAACGACTGCGTCCGCGCTGCCGAGTGCCGCCGTTTGAAGGTCGAAGGTATTCGAGGATCCGATCCGAGGAGTCCCGCAACGCGGACAGCTCCGTTACGATCCTGGCCAAGATCGTTGAGTCCGCTGTCGCGTCTGGCGTGGGTCGTACCTCACAGATGTCTGGCGACGCGTCGACCAGCTCGTCCGCAGCCTGCGCAAGCTCGTCCAAGGTCGCCATCCGCAGGAGCCGCAGCATCTTCGAAGTAGCCGATGGCAGAAGGTCAAGCCATCGAACCCTGAGCGCGTCGTCCGTGATGCTGTTGCCGGCCAACGTTCGCATGTACCGAAGGAGCTGCGCCGGGGTGCGATCTCCCATGGAGAGGCCTGACAGTAGTTTATACAGGCGGCGCTGCGCAGTATCGCCGTGTCGGGCCAAGACCTGCTGGTTTAAGTTCTGGAACTTCTCGGAGGCAGATGGGTTCTGCAGCACGTCCATCAGGTCCGCGACCGTCTCGCTGTCCAGGCCGGCGACGGTAGTGTGGTATCGCTGCAGATCGGAGTTGATCTGCTGGCAGGCGAACAGCGACTCGAGCTGCGTGAACCAGGAATCTGAGAATCTGATCTCACTCGAATCTGAGAAATAGATGAATTAATTTGTTTAGCTGCAGTTTCGATGTTGTTATTCCTCGGACATTGCTTAGCGATATGACCAGTAAGATTGCAAATGAAACAGCTGGTAGAGTCAGTGCTACGAAAGATCCAGTAGTTTGTATTATTGTAGTTGATTTGAAGCGAATCTGGCAAACGCGACTCATCTTCATCCTTAATATATACTTGTCGACGGAAAGAAAGTATGTGAGTGCGTCCCGGTTTACTTGTACTAGCTCGAATATAGTATATTTGGGATACAAGTTTGATTCCTTTGCATTTTAGCGCACTGATTAGAACTTGATTTGGGATGATAGGATTAACATTGCAGATAACAACGCGTTTATTTCTTTCCATCAGTGGGCGGATTAGAAGTTCTCGATCTCCGACTTTAATTGATTGATTGACTAGGCTGTTAACAATCTCTATTGAAGAAAGAAAAACACAGACACGACTTCTAGAAATTTTAGACATAAACTTGATATTGTTGACATCTGTAATCTTTTCTAAGCCATCAATGTAATCATCAATAGATAATCCATCAATAGCTTCAATCGCTATTGCTTGATCATTTTTTGGTTGATAAGTTGCTTGAGCGTAAGAGGGAGAAACTTTATGAGAGAGAGAACTTTTAGTAATTTGGGATGTAGCATGGCCTCCATTTATAGAAACCATTGCTAGATTAAATGCAAGCAGTCACACGGATGTCGCGAAGTAAACACAGCAAATTTAGCAGAGTGACGATACACGTCTACTCGTAACACACGTCTGCTCGTTAAGACGACTGATAGCCGACTGATCTCAAAATATATGAACAATGATTCGCCTATCTACTTTTATTGCAAAAATTTATAAATTCATAAATTCAAAAAAATAAAGATTACATATCATATCTTTGTTATTAGGAAATGTTTGAAAGTTACCGGAGTACATTATGTACTGTTTCCGTAATCAAGATATTAATATGAATAAATTCCATATTCTTCATAGCCTATTGAAAGACAGTTATCTAATAGATTCAGAATCAAACTCCAGAGATAGAAAACTAAAATCAACACCTGTGAAATATAAAATCAATGACGTTGAAAAAATAGGTTCCATTAAAATTTTTGTTAAAATAATGTGTAATACATTGCAAAGTTTTCTGTTATCCTAGTTTCCAAGCTGAAATAGTATACTCTATATATTCCAAAGTTATTTAAAAATCTATAATAATCAGAATTGTAATGTTTTGCATTTAGCATTTAATATTGCATGTATGACGTTTTCTATCGCAATTATGATGTTTACATACATTCCATCCATATGTAAATAATTTTTATTATATCAGAATTTCAGCGAGGCACAAGATAATCAAACTTCCATACGCGGACTCCAGATGTGTATATTCAACTTAGCAGATGATATACAAGAATATATGAGAGGTTTATTTATTGGAACGTGAGTGAACTTTTGTATTCTATGAAATGATATTATTTGCATATTATTTTATTAAAATTTTATTTTATTAAAATGATATTATTTTCATTTTGAAAAAATTTTAATTTATTTTATTTTTTATATGATATTTAAAATATTCTGCTTTGATATTTAAAATATGCTGAGACTAGGGTCTCAGATGAGCGGGTTTATAACGACTTCTACTTTATTACAATATATAAATTTGTTATTATTTAATTTTTATGACCTGATAAAGTTTAAATTATTCTTTCATTACTAATAAGTGAAAACACATCATTATATATTAAAAAATAGTTATTTTAAAATAAGTTACTCTATCAGAAAAACAAAATTGAAAAATAATTTGAAAGTATGAATCATCATCAATGAAAATAATAATATCTTTCACCATTTCTATAATAAATCTTGTAATGTTACTTAGTACAATTTGCAATCAATCGAAATATAAATAGGTTATCGGTACCGGAGTCAATAAAGTAAGCCTGAAAACCTCATTATATTACAATAATATATCCATGATTGATTTGAAATAGTGAAATTATGATAAATACAACAGTTCGGATCTCTATCATAGAGATCGACTAAAATTATTTGATTGAGTTTCTAAGCGATCCTATGAAATCTGGTTTCTAAGCGATCCTATGAAAACGAATGTAAAGATTTATGTCTGTTAAATACAAATAAAAGGAAATTAAATAATTGTATCGCGAATCGCTGGCTCAGACATATTTATTTCGCCTAAAATTATTTACAAACGCATAAATTCGATATGATTGACTAGATCACATGCACAAATTCACCGAGATCAATGGACAAAGATTATTACGACAACGGAATTGAAGATTGACGTGCTCCGCACGCGAGGTACTTAGCTTTGCGGGCGTCGAGAAGCGATTTATTGGTTGTCCGGGTTTCCTCTCTATGTTCCCCCTGGACCACGGTGATAAGGTGTACGTTCGATTGATCCTCGTACCTTAAGGTTGAGTTCAAAAAGGTGATTTCAGTGTTGATGGATTAGATTTCCGACAAGATTAGTGATTGTAGCACAATTAGCGAGCTTGCAGGACCGGATAATGCGAGCGGCTCATTGTTTGGCAGGCGAGTTTTCCAGCGGTCAAACGCGAGCGATTACAATAGCTCAGTACCTGACTATTTTTATATATGCTATTTTGATTGGTCACCAGAATCCACTCATACAGAGAGTCGTTGGAAGTGTTCGTGCGTCGTTAGACGCGTAGAATCCCTGCCCTACCGGTATCGTCGTCAAGCTCATCCGATGAAACCGCTCGACCGAGGCAGAGGCCTAAAGAAGGTCTCACTAAGGACAACGCAGTCGAGGTATAATCAGCTCTTTGGAGTCTAGTGTGTTGAGCGAGGAGAGCTCAACACACTAGACTGTGAGAACGAGAGAGCTCACCACCGACGTCACCACCATCACCGGTGCAGGAATGCACAGGCGAACCTTTGGGGACGTCACCCCGAGAAGAGACGCGAGGTCGTTTGAATGACAGGCCGCTAACGCTGTGATAGCTTTTTGAACCTGGACTATCAATTTCAACGGAGATACTGTATCAGTACAGAGCGCTTCTTGGAGAAGTTAAAGAGCTGTATATGGATGTTCAGCCTCTCAGACCATGAGGTCCTCCTATCGCTGGCTGAGTACCCCACCACCTTCTAAAGCATTATGAGGAATATGCGGTCCCCTTCATCTGAAAAGAGACAGATACGACTGGCGATGACTGAATTGAATCCGGAGTATGGGCGTTATCTCCGAGACAAACTAGTTTACAGATAAACCAGTTGGAGAGGTATCACGATGATGAAAGAAGGTAGCATCCTCTTCTTTGAATAATAACCTGCTTATAGAAGATGCCGCTTACGTAGGTCCGACCAAAAACAGCCGTGCAGCAGTAAGTACCATGGTAGCGCAGATATTCAAACAAAAGACCAAAGAGTCGAAATCGAAGAAAAAATAGAACTGTAGTGTAAAGACTTCGGAAGCACCAGTATCGGGGCGTCCTTCGAGTAATGATTCGGTATTGGAGCCGTGCATAGTGAGTGCTATGAAGTAGCCAGCATTATCTCACTAATCTAACGCTAACAACCGTCAGTGATACTTCTAACGTTTGAAGGGCGTGCAGACACGACTACTTAAATATCGGGGTTAAGGGATTGAGGATGGAATGCTGTACAAGTATCGTTCCAACGAAGTCCTAAATTCAGTGACTTATAAGAAGTAGTGATGGCAACATGTCATTTCGGGAGATTGTCGAGAATATATCGTGCCCATTGTGAACATGACATTTTAGTGGTGAGAAGACGCATGATCGCATGCGTGCGAGTATTTCTGGCGGGGCATGTGGTATGTGTGCAAAATTTCCTACAGTCATGCCTCGAATGCCAGAAGTACAAGGTAGAGCAATGCGCTCCTAAATGCTTGATGAGCAACAAGTAGTTGCTCATCAAGCATTTAGGAAAGTTTTAAAACAAATCACAGAATAACATAACTAAATTCTTTTTTATTTTTATTATTTTTTTAAATTATATTTAACAGAAAATATTAATTATTATATAAATAAACAATTGATGATTTAATTATTAGAAATACATAAACAAAATTGTACAAATCAACTGGATCCTACATATTGCGACAAACGTTGAATATTAAACATATTATTCAATAATTTTTTTAGTATTATTTATCATTAAACTCTTATAATAGTAATAATAATCACAATGACTTTATTTGTCTGAAACTCTTTGGTTTGAAAAACAAAACGTAATAGATATATACATTATTATAAAAATATTCATCAACACAAACGTCTCTGCTTCAAAAAAGAAAACATAATTTTAAACCAATTTTTCGTCGAAATGTCCGCCTTTAGCCTTTATTACAGCCTTACACAATCGCGGCATTCTAAGTATCAGCTTATCTAACGTTGTTGACTTGATAATTTTCCACTCCGTTTGTAAAACATTCCAAAGTTCAGTTTTCGACGTAGGTCGAACTTTTCTCACTGCTCTATCAAGCTCTTCCCAGAGCAGCTCAATGGGATTGAGATCAGGTGATTGGGGGGGGCCAGGTCATTATTTCTAATTTCTTCTTTTTTTCTAAACTATTTAAATAATTTGTACAAAGTTTAGATTTATGCTTGGGATCATTGTCTTGTTGAAATATAAATTTAGACTTAAGTAAACGTTTACTAGATGGTAGAACAATTTTTTGCAAAATTTTTTGCAAATTAGCAATCCAGTTGATTTGTACAATTTTGTTTATGTATTTCTAATAATTAAATAATCAATTGTTTATTGATATAATAATTAATATTTTCTGTTAAATATAATTTAAAAAAATAATAAAAATAAAAAAGAATTTAGTTATGTTATTCTGTGATTTGTTTTGGTATAAAAGGTAGCAGACACTGTTTGATTTGTATTATTTCATAGTCGTTGTCTGATTTGAATTTTGAGTATTTGAACGAATGTTAAGTTATAAGATGAGTTTAACAATGTATTTTTGACTTTATTGTGATATTTGATTTGATTGTGACTTGCGAATTGAGGTAAATGTTTTGTTAGCGTGATTTTTATTTGTTTTGGTTTATATCTAACTATTTTCTCATTTTGTTTTTTTAATAAAGATCTGATGAGGTTGGATATTTACCAACGAAACACACGTGTGTAACCACCTGAGATGATTGTTTGATTATTTTTTTACAACGGGTTGGTTCTAAAATTGGATTAAAAAATTTTTTGCTGAAAAAAAAATTTATTTATAGTTCTCATTTTGTGATTTACTACGTCCCTAGGCATTTTAAAACTAAGCGTAAAAAAAAGTTAAATTCCTTTATTTTTTAATGCGCTAAAAAAAAGAAAAAAAATTTTTTCTCTATTTCTTTATTTTGACTTTATTTTCGTATTCTTGGACACAAAATGAACCTTTTTTCTCTTTGGCATTTTTTTCCAAAACGTACGCAAGTCGAAATAATTGAGGATTGGAAAAAAAGGTTGCTTTTTACAAAAAACGCCGTAACTCGGTTAAAAAACATCGGATAGAACCCCGCGAGAGCTCATTTTAAAGGGAAAGACATTACCCTCCGAACCCCTCAGGTCGATTTGCCCTCCACCGCCTGGTTCTAAATTGGCATTGATTTAAGTCGAGGTTAAAAAAATTGAAATTTTTTTAATCAATTTTTTTACTGTAAAAAACACATATTTTCATTTTTAAGTCTCTGCACGTCTTGAATGAAAGCTTTTGCAATTACCTATAAAATGCCCTGCGGTTTTTTGTGATACGATGATTTCCGACCGAGATACAAAACTTTCAAGTTTGTCTAATTTTGAGGTAAGAAATAAGACTATTGTATTGACAGGCCAGAACTATAGACACCGATGCGAAAACAGCCCGACACAAATAACATTTTATAAAAAAAAATGATCACATCTCATGTATGTCTAATTGTACTTCTCGAAAAAATAATTATTTGTTATTGTACCATTATATTTCTCATAAAAAATAAAAAATATCGTTATCGATAATTCACCTCTTATTTATTCACATAAAAGACATAATTAAGCAAAAATAAATTCACAGAAAAATTGTACCTTTTGTAGTCTAAATTGTACCATCAGTACAATTCTATAAATTTGTTTCTAAAAGAAATAATAGGTCAATTACAAAGCTCTACGCCTGCGCAAAGTGTATTTCCGGATGACATCCTTGTAAGTTGTAACAATTAGTGGTAATTTGTAATTGTCCTATTATTTCTTTTGGAAACAAATTTATAGAATTGTACTGATGGTACAATTTAGACTACAAAAGGTACAATTTTTCTGTGAATTTATTTTTGCTTAATTATGTCATTTATGTGAATAAATAGGAGGTGAATTATCGATAACGATATTTTTTATGAGAAATATAATGGTACAATAACAAATTATTATTTTTTCGAGAAGTAGACATAAGAATTAAACAT